AGAAACGACTTTCAAATTCCTTAATAATTATGAACCCGACTTGTTGCAGCTGCATTCACGGTTTCCAACCTGTCTGCTGTAAACACTCCGTCAAACTAAAATCACACACATACTACCTACTTTTTGTAGCAAGTAGCAGTTTGATGTATTTCAGAAATGGATACGGACGTACGCGTTCCAAGCGTTCGTATGCGCAGAAGACTGTTAAAACATTGGAACATATTTTTTTTTTATTCTGAGGTTTTGAACTCGTGCAGGAGCTCATCGCCAGAGACAGCAGCAGTAAAAAGGTGACAATGCAAGCAAATCAATTATGAGTGACGCGTGTCTGGAGGTGACTGCGCCGACTCTGTACGCTGGCACCAAACTTGCCATGCCCAGCAGGGTGATAAAACCAACGACCGACTAAATCTGGGATAGTGTATCGCTTCTCATGCCTTCACTGTCCCCAGAATTACACACGGCAGACTTGGCGCAAACTTGGATCGCGCATACACAAGTATAAACTAAGTTTAAGACAGGGTGGCGGATTATCACAAGTGGCAGCCCACACCTACCAAACTGGTTACGAGTTTACTTTCGCAGCCGCCGAGTTAATCGCCCACACCGGAAGCGATACAAGCCGGGAATTGATTGAAACCTGGCCCTCAGATGAGAATCCAGTCAGTCAATTTGACGAGTTGGCGCCTGCCCCCTATAACTATTGCTTGTTTTTTTTCGTTGCCACTTTTATCTCTGATGATGGAGTCCAGCAAGAGGTCGAAAGCTCGGGCCATAATGCGGCTACCGACGAACCTCTTGAACCGATGTCACGAGCACGCGCGGAAATACTTTATTACCCAGCGCCGGATGGCTAAAGCCCGCCGTACACTGTACTCAGAAAGCTGCACAGATTCACTTACAGAAAGTGGCCGACAGAGGGGTACCTACCTTTTCTGCAAATATCCTCCGCTGTTCGGACGTGGCCGGGCTGGCAAAGCGAATGTCAGCCCGAATATGAACAGTGTCCAGCAGGTCGGTGCAGGGCAGGATGAGAGCAGAGAGGCCGGCCCCAGGGGTCGCAGGTGCACCCGAAATGTCATCATCCCCAGTCTCAGACGACTGTATCAGGGCCGCAGAGATTCCACTGAACTGTGCGGCGTCCTGCTCAGGCACCAGACTGACCAGGCG